CTTTTCACGAGCGAGCGGCTACTTCTCGAAGCTCAAATCGAAACAAGCTGGCCTGTCAAAGCTCAATACCAGCACGGACTCGGACAACAGCTGTGCTTCTTCGGCCACGAGTCTTGCAGCGCCAGCTTCAATTATCGCTGCAGAAGAACGTACACCGCAATCTTCCACCTGCGACACCACCTCCGCTACAACCGTGACCGATGAATCATCCTCCGTCGAGATGCCACCTCAACAAAGAGACGTCCTTTGGTCTTCTTTCAAGGCCATTGACATGGATTTCAAGGGATTTCTTGCCAAGAGCACAGCCCAGCGAATGTCGCAGGTTCAAACACAGCTTCTCCCATTCCTGCGAAACACGATGAATCATGAGTCCACTAAGAAGCTCTACCCCGAAGATGTCGATCGAAGGGCGACAATTTTGAACAAGTGGTGGATTGCAATCCTGGAAATGCTGGATGGTCAGGCACCCCAGCCTGTCCCTGGTGTTGATCGTCCGGTTCTTTTCGATGCTGCGACACTTCTCATGACGCGACACGAATGGCGACAAGCCACATCATATTTCCTACCACTCATCAACCGATCTCCGGCTGAGCGCGTCCGAGCGCGATCTCTGACCACCTCTTCTGCCTCTTCTGTCACATCGAGCCAAGCGGCTTTCTTAGAAGAATCAGCCGAACACAATGTTAGGACCATGTTTGTTTCCAATCTGGTCAAGCAAATGGCTTTTGTAGTTGAAAAGCTTTCGCTCCGCAATGTCCCAGTCAGTCTGGTTAACTTTGCTGGAAAGGCTTGCGCCTACGCATTTTTCTTCGCACCTGGCGTTGCAGATATCCTGATCAGACTCTGGGGACTTTCCCCTGAACTCATTCGACGAGTAGCCGACGAGCTTGGTCTTCCAAAAAAGAACAAAGGCGAGAGCGATGACATTGCTGCTTTGTTCCCTCCAACCATTGGCGTATTCGCCTGGACATCACCAAAGGGTATGTGGGATGGCCTTAAGAAGGTTCCCAGGTTGCCTATGCTGGTGTCTAGAATCCCTTGGACAGGTCCCTGGGCGGCTCGCTGGAAAGGTCGAGACACAGATGTATTCTTCATCTTCTGCAAATATTTCCATATACTCTCTGAGCAGTTCATCCCCCCTGGACTGCCCCTCCTCGAAAAGGCCAGGTCTCCCGCATTTGCTCTCGTTCAAGCTCAGCTTCTTTACGTTCTGGATACAACAGTTCACCGTCAGTCTCCAATAGATGGTGGCTTTACTCCTCCTGCGATGGACTCCATGTCAGGTGCTGATGCCGCAATGGCTCTGCCGCTCCCTGTCAGCAACGTTATGAGAGGCATGTCCGAAAACCGATGCATCATGCTGTTGAAAGACTTCCTTTCAGATGAAACAACCGAGATCGCCGGCGCACGTCACACATTTGCAGAGACCTTTGCAACCATGATGAAAGCCGCGACCCGCAAGGTGTCGAAATACAACCACCCTGCTTGTTTCACTCTGTGCGACTTCTTGGAGGAAGTGCTCGTGCTCTATAGCGAGTTCGAGGATCCTGACTGCTCGAATAGCTATCTTGACTGGGCATTTTGGTTTGACGTTTGCCAGAAAGTCATGAGCTCTTTCAACACCATGTCTGAGATTCGAATGTTGGCCTTGGTCTACTCCATTTGGGATGCCATTTCCAAGGACCCTGTGCGCAAATTGGCCGTATGCAAGGACTGGCTGCTCACGGAGGAGACCTTTAATGAGTTCTTCAACCATTGGTGCCCGATGGTTCGGGCTTACTACCAGCGTTTACTGTGCTGGCGCATGTGCCGAGATACAGGAACGCTGGATGAAGTTGATGGGTAAGGCGTCCTCGCCTCGCTTTTGTGGTACTTGCTGACTCGGAATAGCCAAATTTTTGCCCTTGTAGCTGAACGACTTCAGACGACGTGGTCTCACTATCTGCATATAAAGCACACCGCCGAACAAGAACAGCGAATCCCCCCTTCAACTGCACCAGTGAATCCCGCGCCCGGTAAACGTTTTATGATTATTCGCCAAGAGATTAATGTTCCCCAGCCTGGACTATATATGGGTAGCTTTGATTCCTTCGCGAAACTTCCTAATAGCGAGACAAGCGTTCTGAATGGCCTGCCTCCTGACCCGTCTAGGAATGACGGCAGGAAACGATGGTCACTATTAGGAAAAGTCCTTTCCCTTGGCGGTAATACGGGTGCAGGCGCTGGATGGGACGATGATTTCCAGACTGTCCGTCGTGAGACAGCAGAGTCTCGTTCCTCTGGTACCACCCAAACAAATAGGAACGCTAATGTTAATCATAACAAGGGCCGTCCATCTGAAGATGACTCCTTGTATTCTCAGCCAACCTACGAGGAGCCGAAATATGTATTCAAGTTTATTCTTGCTTGGCAACAACAGGCAGCACCTCTTCGGGATCGTTTCTTGACTCGCCCTCGACTTCCCGGCCCAGCACAGACACGTATTAGTGGACCTTTACGAGTCAACGGCTTTACTGTTCCAGCTGGATATGCAGTGCCAACACGCAAGTTTTCTGGCAGCCCACAGCAAGGGCTCATCGATAATGCTAGGAACGCAAATTCACTGAGTCCGACTGATGAGCAAAATGGGTCTTCAAGTTGGAAGCTTGAGGTCACGCTTCCGATTCGGAGTGACGAATCTCCTCAAACACCTAGCTTGAAAGCCAGCCCCTCACCTTCACCATCGCCTTCACCATCGCCGACACCATCGCCGAACTCAAACATGGGCTCTTTCACCGATGCTGTGGTGGATCCTGTTAAGCCAACTGGCCTGTACATCAAGAATTCTGTGTACACTGGACGCTCGCTCGCCGAGTGGGCGCAGGTTGTTTTTGAGTGCAACAACTTCGTTGAGCGTCGCCGTGATGAGGGAATGGAAAACCTTGGCGACGTTGAGATACCTATCCTTGGAGTAGAGGGCTTCCGCAAGGTTGGCGGCTAGAGGCTGTGATACCTGAGGCAAGCTCATTTTCTAAGCACTCTTCACATTGTGCAATACGTTCTTTCACAACCATGATTCCTTTGCCTTGTTGCATGCCTTGACCATGCATGAGCATGGTCATGTTTGCTTTCGCACAAACATACATCACTGAGGTGATTATACGGCTTCTTTGCATATAACCGGTCTCCAGGGTTTAGATGTGGGATATGAAGGACCTGGTATGTAGTCAGGTCGCTCTGAGTGAACTTCTCATATGTTGGAGATTTTCAATGATACTTGTATATGGCATCTAATTTTAAGGCGTTATCGAGCAACAACCGGTCTGTTTTACTTCTTTTTGTTACATATAGCATATATTAGCCTGCCATAGGGGCATACATTGGGACAGGTCTTTGTTGGTCAAGGGGATAGGTGATCACGGACGGAGTAGGACTGCATGCAATTCAAAGTTCATAGCCATCGTGGCTACAGTATAGGTTCTGAGCGATGGGCCATTGAGCGTGATCTCTCGTGTATATACCAAATTGGTTGAGGCTGAGGTTGAATACAGAAGCTGCGTCTTCTGCTTTGGAGCATCATAATGATAATGGTTTTAATGACAGTGCGTGCCTTTGAGCGCAGTTATAAACAATGCTTGTAACAATTCGCGATCTGTATTGTGCTATTCTCCTATCTTTGTCATACTTCATTTGTAACTCACTCCCAGCCGGCCATTAGCTGTGCTTTCATCTCAACAACCTGCGGTTTGAGTGCCTCATACCTCTTGAGGGCATCATCCCTCAGGTAGTCCTCACGCCTGGTATAATAGCCCTCGAACGATGGCTTCCCATCGTTGACAGTTACCCAACTCTGACGACTCTGCGTGTAAATGTGAACGTCCGGCTGAATATTCCAGGGCCTGTCCAAGGTCCCAACACGAACATATGGCAGATGAGGCCCAGCATCTGCGTAGTAATTCCACAGACCGGTGTGGCACACAGGACAACCAACAAGGGTCTGTCCCACGCCAGATGCTGTAGGAAGACACACAGACACGGGTTCGGCCTCGGGGCGAGGCTCACGTGCAGTTGAATCGGCGGATGTAAGCCGTGCAAAGGCGGGATGAATAGCAGCGGGGATAGGGTCCGGGTAGGAAGAAGAACCAACGATAGTGGGGGCTGCTGAGGGGAGAAGAGTCAAGGCGGTGGACTCTATGACAGCATTGAGGGCGCAAATAGAGCCTGTCTGACGCTGGCAGGTAGTACAGTAACAACAATGAACTATGAGGGGAAGAAGAGTCAGTTGGTAGCGGATAAGACCACAAGCGCAACCGCCGGTGAGGGGAAGAATGTCTTTGCGTTGAGAGTAGTGAGCCATGGTGCTGGTGTTGAAGAAGTAAAAAGGTGGGAGAGGAGACAGAGAGGCCTCAAGGGGCTTATAAAGGAGAAGGACAGCGTCAGGGCTCAGTAGCTGGCCAATAGTAGAATTATTAACGGAAAGACACAATATTCGTGTGGCATTGTCCTCGTTTTAATTCACTCTTCCCAAGACCAAGACCATGTCGAACGAAAGCGGGGTGATGGGAGCTGGCCAGTGAGAGTGAACGGGACGGCCTAAATAGGAAATTCACGAAAGGACTCAATACCTAGGTAGCGATAGGACATGGTCTAGGGGAGGAAAGAAAACTCGGGACCTTGACTATAAGCGATGAAAATATTAGGTAAATTTAGCCTAAGCTTAGGGTACTCTTTGCTAAGTTTATTTTGACACCTTATATTAAGGTCTGGTGTTTTCTTGCCCCCTGAGGCGGACAGAACACAGAGTTAATAGAGATGACAAGGAATTTATCCGTGCAAGATAAGATACCATCCCGAGAGACCATAGGCAGTGCTGCTATAACATACATGATGGCCAGCCCCGCTATGATATTCATATAACATTTCCCCAGTGGTTCTACAGTTTCTCTTCTGTGATCAGGTTCGGAACAAATCTCTAGAAATGGGCACCATTCGCCACGAAGGGAATCAACCCTACATGTTGATTAGTGTCGAGCATCAACCAAGAGGCTCCGAAAAACACTGCTCTCGTCATCTTCACTGCCTTCGTCTTCTCGAATGGCCTTGTAATCACTACCCATAAGCGCCGTCATCTCAATCTTGCAGGCTTGGCCAACAAGCACTTCCATATGACGGCTAGACAATATCAAGTCCAGTCTTTGATATAACGCCGAAAGAATATTTGAGAATGGCCTCAGTTGAAAAGGTGCGCACCAGTAGTGAGGGCGATGCTCTCCAAATGTAGGCTTTTCGACTACTTTAAATAGGCGATGCAATCTTGACACACTGCCTCGATATCTAATCTGGTCGGCGTTCAACGAGGGTATAAAGAAGCAATCTATCCCAAGGTATTGTGTCGCTTGGATGAACTTTTCGGGGATGTCATCTGCGAGGTTCACAGCAGAGCAAGGGCCGGTATGCCAACAGAGCGGGCGTTTGGCGAGAATCTCGATTGCTATCTCCTTGCCTCCTGCATTGAAGACTTGGAGCATCTTGACACGGTGTTGAGCAACTGGATCTGACAGACTCGGGATTAGATATCTAGTTGTGGCTAATTGAAAGTCGTCTTAACTTACCGATCAAAGGAATCAGTCTGAAAGTTTCCAAGTTGATCAGCCGAGTATTTCTAACGATCAGCAAGCTGACGAACTCGTCGACGTGCCATTTTCCGGCGATATCCTGGAGCATCTCCTCGACTGCGCCCTGGCACCCTAGCTCCCAAGCCACGAATAGGTTCTTGCTGTATGCCTGCATCTTCTTACTACGCTGACACATAATCTTGAGCCTTTGATACCACGATGTCGCCATAGGCTGCAGAGTCTTGGTCATGTCGTATTTGTTGGTCAAGACGCATGTGTTGCAGAGCTCCTGGGGCTTTAGGTCCAAAGGGGCATGGTCGAAGTTTGCGTGGACAGTGTCTTAGAACAACAAAAGCTTCTGGATTATCCTGGGAAGCTTCACTTCCCAACGATGCAGGTTGTTGGTGGGCTTTGAGTCTCTGAAACCGGGCTGACAGTCAGCCAGAGATCTCCGTTGCCGTCGAAAACGATGGTATCGGGCGACGAGGCACCAGGCGATGTCATGGCGAGCTTCGCGTGCGTATTCAGCGCGTGCTGACAGAAAACTTGAAGAGAGTGAAGATGAGGGGGTTAAGGAAAAAATAGCAAAACATAACAAGACAGACGTAAGAGAAGCAGTGTACGTAAGGCTTTCAGTTTCGCCGGTGCAACGCTCGTAATAAAAGTCGGCAGCTGGCAGTAAGCAGCAGTGTCAAGGCATTTAACATTCACCTTTAGGCATTGGTAAACTGGCGGTATCTCAAAGAGGCAGTATTTAGTGTTGCTTACCATGTTTTTACACATACATGCAAGTGAAATAGGACCAAGTGGGCTATTTACAAAGACTTTGGCGCATTCTGGCGGAAGCTTGGTATATAGACACCCTCCTATAATATTCTACAGCTCATACTTGGCTGGATCTGGTTGCTAGTGCCAATATGGAGAAATCATCCCTTCGAGATAATAACAACGATAAACATCCAGTAGTCCCTAAGCTCTCCTTGTGTTCATACTACATCAATATGAGGAGAAGATGCTTGTCAAATAAGACACACGCGCACACGCACACAATGTGAATCGCCAATCACCAATCGAGATATCAAACACCGCCCGTTCGCCCCTAAACTCATTCCTCATTGCTCATCGTCATCATCTTCATCCAAGCCAGGAATCATTCTAATCTTGGCAGCTTGGATTTGCAAAGCCCGAAGATGGCTCAAGTAGAGGGGATCGGCTGCCCTTCGAAGTTGTTGCCTAACCTCCTCGACCGTCTCGAGTACTGCAGGGCACCATCCACACAAGTCGATGTGATCGGCCACGAGACTAATCTTGTGCTCAAGGGTCTTCAGATCTAGGTCCGAGGACCGGAATACGTCGAGGCTGCCCCCAAAATGGAAAAGGTCAAGTATTCCTTCTTCACCAGCCTTGCTTAGCATCTTGCCCAGCATCAGACACATTTCCTCTCGGCTGTGGGAAGCGCCGCACATACGTCCCTTGACCGAGCTATACAAGACTTGTTCGCCTAGCCTCTGGCTCTTATACCAGCAAGTTTCAAGAGCGAGCTCGCGGTGTTCTGTGATGCAGTCTGTGAAGGAGTTAGCGAAGCTCAAGAGAAGAAACATGTTGTACTTACCAAGAATAGGGATTCGTTGCAACCCTTCAAAGTCGGAAAGTCGCTCCTTGTTCACTCCAATGACGAGCTGATCGTTCCAATCCAACGAGCAGTTGAGCACGACGTGTCCCATCATCTCGCTGAGCTCATCCGAGAAACCCAATTCCCATGCAATATATGCCTTCTTAAAAAAGAGCCCATAGTCTTCAGTGGAGGTACCCAAGGCCTTAAACCAGCGCTCAGCCACAGGTCGTAGGATCTGTGTCATCTCATACTTGCTGGTGAGAATGCAAGCACCGTACAGCTTCTTGAGTGATACCTTGGAGGACACCTTCTCGAAGCGTGTATGAATCAAATTCATAATCACAGTGAAAGGGACAGGGTCGTCATCTGGTAGCTCTATAGTCCAGCTGCCGCCATCTTCAGGATCTTTCTGGTTGAAGGAAACGATCTGCTTGAGCCGGGGAGACACACGGCTGAGCGCACGGGAATCGACGAGCATGAGCCGTCCTGGGTTCTGTCCTACCTTTAGGTAGAGGTCCCCGCTCTCGTCAAAGCAAATCAAGGGCTTTCCGCTCTCGTTAGAAAAGCTCTCGCTAGTTTTTGTAGACACAGAATGATCAGTGTCAATGCCAGTGACTTCCAAGTCGACACTTTCAATTTCAGTGGTTCTAGCCAGAGCGGCCATTTCCTTGGTGACATAAGGTTCCGGGGTGAGACGTTGGGTTTGCGATCCAGCGACGTCGTCGTCGAATTCATCGCAAAATTCGAACTCCTCGCCACTATCGAAAAACTCGAAATCATCAACACCGGCCTCAGCTAAACCGGACTCACGAGTGGTGGGCGCTGTAACGAAGATCTGAGGGATAGTGACATCGTGAAGAGAAGTGGGGTTGGTAGTATGGTCATCCATAGTGTTGTCGGTCGTTGGGGGCTCACTAGGAGACTGCTCTGTGACAGACTCATCTTCAGTGCCAAGAACAAAAGTGTAGTCGGGAGTGATAGGCTCTGCAGCGCCGTGTTGGATGCTGGTCTCGATAGATGAGGCTTGGATGCCAAAGAACGAAGTGTCTTGAACTTCAGTCTTATCCTTGGGAGTCTCAACCTTAGGTGTAATGGGCTGAGTGGAGGATTGAGACCCAGATTCTGGGCTTCTTGGTGGACTGCTGGTCACAGTGCTGTATACAGACTTGCCCCCATTAATGAAATCCATAAAAGAGCTGCGGGTTGGGATTGACCCGCAAAACTTTGCTTGGAGTTCGACGTTCATCTTGAGGGAGTGGATGTAGAGTTGTGCTTTGGAAGCTATGGGTAGATGAGAAAGAAGTAGTAGGTATAAGGGAGAAACAAGAGTCGGTCAGTTGCGATGGGGAGTGTGTGTGGATGTTGTGGTTGTGAGAGAAAGAAAAGTGGGAGGAGAAGAAACGGAGAAGAAGAGAATGTTAAAGGCGAGGCTGCTGTGCACGTCAAGTGGCCCAAGAAGCTTTCAGTGGCAGCCGGTTGACAGTGGCGGAGGCAGTGACAGCAACAATAACGGTAACATTGGAGACAATCAGTCGAACAATAGGTGCCAGTAACAAACGCAATTAATTGACAGTGTCTTGTAGGGGTCATTGTTCACTCACCAACCGCTTTTGTGTTTTGAGCCTGTGTGTTGTTGGTGAGTGATAGGTAGAGAGGGCTCTTTCAATTACGCGCAAACTCAACTTCATCCCAACCATTGGTGTTTATGACTTAGACGGGATTATATTCAATATTTACAACAATATGCATATACAAACATTATACAATACCAGTATACTTTTACAGTGGAAAGTATGAGGGTCTGATTAGAATATGAATATATCTGACTAAATATCTATTGATATTTGACATCCCCGATTGTGTCTTCACAGTCTGTGTATAAATATACTCCCGCTGTTTGCCAGTCAAGACCCTCGGGGATTTGTCACATCTTAGGTACACTTTACAAGTCACTTCAGCAATTATTTCACTAGAACTTATTCACACTACCTGCTCGATGACATATCTCGAAACTGCCTAAATGCAAACAGAGGCTGTCGCCCAACTTGGAGAGCCGGCAAACCAGTGGCACTGGAGCTTATTGGATTTGATGAGACGGCGGGAGCATTGGGCAATTGGGCCTTTTAAACGCTGGCAAAAACAGTTTCATCAAGGAGTATGGTTCTCGCCAAGCCTCGGAAACATACACACACCGTCTAAGGCCTCTCCGTTCCCGTCGACCGAGAATCTGGCATCATTGTAACTAATCCCGGGACAATATGGCCTCTATCTAGGTTGGTTCGTCCTAAAACACGTTTCCCCCAAGCGGCAAGCATCATTTTTCTGTAGCTGACGCTTCCATGCTCCTGGTGAACCTGTATCTAGGAATGGAACCATCACGATGCCATCCGACGCGAGGTTGACTCTTCCTTATCTATTGGTCAGGAGGCAGAGTTGGTGCAATTACCGCATATCATTAATTAGTTAACTCGAGATAAAGTCCATGGGTTATTATCCGTGAGCAGGGCGAAATAATTCGTTTTCATCTTCAAGTCCTGAAGCTTTCCAATATGGCCCTCCTAGGGCTTGCAGTTACGAACTGAGCCCTTAACATCTTGCGGACAACATGAGATTGTGTGCAAAGTATACGACCGGGACCAAATGCTATACCCTTGTGAGCTTGATACACTCTGCATTATGCTTCTACTAGTCGGTTGTGTCCGAGAGGTGACGTTTCGCTGGGGTCATGATCATGAAATATATCTGTATCTGCGCCTCTTTACCTTTAGTTGTAGGATGTCAGTTTCAAGCTTGAAACGTCATCAACTTTCAAGAGGGCGACCACGTTCGAGTAATCCAGGTTATCTCAAGTGAGATTATCTCTTGACCAAAGGTGGTGATAGCTTCAACAGTGAAAAGGACAATGCTATACTTGGTAGCTTCCCCGCACGTGATGCTCGTATTCCCTGCTGTGTATCCACCCTTCGGCCCTGTATGACCCGCTAATCCCTTTCCGACGACGACAGCTTCGAAAGGATTACCCGTTTCAACTCTGATTATCCATCAACGATAACGGGGCTTGTGACTCTCTGGCCATACCTAGTTACACCCATAACGCTATCCGTGCGTCCTGTCGCTTCTTGAATAATGCCCAACACGGGAAAGCCGAGCAAAGATTGCCATCTTTGTCGATCACGACGTGTCAAGGTCTGTTCGACCCTTGAGCCACTCATCCTGTGCTTACGCGGTTATGTCATAAGAGAGACGCTCGAGCATATCAACCCATCACATATCCAGTTGCTGACGACATCAACAGTGTGATCTTGGCAGACCATCCTGTCAAAGATGCATCAAATATGGGACTGAATGCCCGGGATATCGGGACGAACAGGAGCTTGTCTTTCGCAATGCTAACCCAACCACCATCAAGAAGAGGAAGAAGAGGACTCAGCAAAATGCCACGGCTCAGACTCGTGGGGAGTCTGTCATGTCTTTTGGCTCATCTTCCTCCTCCTCTTCGTCAAATGGAGATGCTACCACGCCATCAGTCACTGAAGAAGTTGATCGTGAATTCAGCCCCGTCTCACCTACAATAGTCGACCTTGTCGAATTCACCAGAACTGGAAGAGCTCTCATCCTGCCGCAATCCCTTAATGAGCATTGGACCGCCCATTCCATCCCGATCCTTCTCAATGTCTACTATACTTTGGATTTCCTCCATGACACATACAAAAAGAGCGGTCCTCAGGGGCCTCTTCTTTGGGCCACTCATCTCTTTGCCCGCACATACATCACCAACCTGCGATATCCCACCGCCATCGACAACGGATCTGTCGAGCAGACTGACAAGGAACTTGGTACTTACCTTGGTAAAACCTTGAGCTCTGTTGGCGAAGCACTCAAAACACCAGAGGGCGCAATGAGAGACGATGTTCTCGCGACAGTATGGATTCTGACGAACTATGAAGTGAGTAACATGGTTTCTTCTTCCCACTGCTCCCATACTCATGTTTTGATAGCTTCTTATGGGCTCCATCAACCGCATATCACCCCTGAACCCATGGCATCTCCATACCAATGGGCTATACAGTATTCTTCAGCAAAGAGGAACGGCTTCTTTGCGAAGGCCGGGATCGAGAATGGGTTTCTGGCCTGCTTACAACATGGTGGTATGTCACCTTGATCTGGATTCTCACTCCCAACTAACAAGCTGTTAGCAAGTGCGGTGTCTCCTGACAAGTCTTGAGTGCCCTCCTGAATCCCAGGAATGGTTTGCCGCCATCAGACAAACCCTTCATCCCGGAGAAGGTTTGGCTGTTGAAGTCGGCGATTATATCTGCAAGATGGCACACGTTCAAAAGCGTATGCTCGATATCATTCGAGCTCGAGACTTTGACACCGCTGCTCTCCAGTACTACGACTTGGTTGGTATTGTTTTCAAAGCCGAAGATCATTTCACGACTTTTGACGCAGACTACCATTACATCGACGAAGTTTTCAACCCCTATCTACGAAACATGCTCAACTCGGCGCGAGTAAAAGGATACCATGTCATTTTGACCTACGCAAACTTTCTAACTCACCATCCGGATGCCCCTATTCCCCTGCAAGAGCTCAAGGTGCTACGCTCCCATTGCGTATACCGGGTTCGAGACAGCGCAAAACTTGTCATGGAGGCGGTAAATCGACATCTCGACCCGGCATCTTTCCGCAACAACCCATCACCAAGGACAGTGTTTGACGCGTTGAAATTGATATGGCCTCTGACGGCGGTCTATCTCGTGCCGTCAACGCTAAACGAGCAGAGCGAAGCCGCGGGTGAATCGTTACAGTTCATCGGCCGCGAGCTTGGAGTGAGGCAGGGTCTAAAGGTTAACAAAGGGGAGTCTACGCTGCCGCCAGAAGCAGAGGCACCTTCACAGCTGGCTGAGGATGCGGCCTTTGACCCGCTCCCAACTAGTAGAGGATTAATGTAATGAACAGAGCCCAATTTCGACGAGCTGTTCCAACAGGTGAACACTGATCATGTTCTTGGATGTTCTTTCAACATGAGAAGAATGTACCTATTGCGAGATCTATCTTTGAGCCCCCTTCCAAAGCCTCACATTGATCACCGATTTCAGGGGCCCCTTGCCCGGAGCAACTCCGGTGTCTCACCAAGAAAGTCCCACAAGAACAGAGACGGCTTCAATCTCAGATCCGCTCCGGGTCAGTAGATCTGGGCTGCTTAGGACTCCGAGACCCGCTCCGTGACACCCAAAAGTTCGGTGTGAGATTCTGACCTTGCTGAGGTGCCCCGGCTGGAGATCCAACCTCTCAGGCGGCGGTACGAGATGCGATAGATAAAACTGTGGCAAGAGTGAGGGCTCGCTTAGCTTTCAGTACTGCATGTCAGCATGCAATGCAAATTACGCGACCCTTCATGGATCTCAGTGATATCCAATACCATCTTCACGAATGCGATTCTCTAGTCACAATTGTGGCGTCTTTGTGGCGGGAGCTGTTAATCCCGGTTAAGCGAGGTGTGGCGGTGCGTTATGTCACTGCAGCAAGACGAAGAGGATTCTGTTTTGGAAGCGTAGGACCGAAAAGGGAGGGACGGAAGTTTCCTAAAGACCGTGCTCAAGAACATGCGACTTGACCAGCTTGTTTTTTGGTCTAAAGATAACGTTGAACGAGAAGAGAGCATGATCAGCAAGGACAGCACGAGTCCGGCGGGTGGCGGCAGTGTCTAGGTGATCCAATTACGGAGTACAGCACGCTATTTTATTTTGATGCGGCTCGTGTTAAAGCAGCTAATTCTCGAATTGGAAACACTGCAGATTTTAAGTTGATGCTTGGGGTTTATGCTTTCCCATGGACCTTTCTGGGTGTTGGTACAGGCGCGACGTGCTATAATTATAAGTGATAAACGTATCTTGTTTTTGGGCGCAGCACACTGTGTATACAAAGGGGTAATCACCTAGGCATACAGTGCGACTAAAAACGGATGGATTGGCATCCGAGCCAACCACCATCTTTCATATCATGATCCAGATCGTGATCGAACACAAAACAGCGCAACCAACATTATACAATCCCTGCATCCTTTACATTAGTTTGTTTTGGGTTGCTATTTGCATCTTTCTCCTCCTCTTACCGAGTCTTACCCCGGATTCCACGACCGTTGCGTTGCGTTACTCTGTACACGAGAAAGAAGCCCTCGCAAGTCTCGGGATGGACAAGCAGACAATGCTTCTGCATTGCATGACAGTATCAGTGAATCGG